TTTACCCCCAAAGTCTTACCACATTTTCTGGCAGCTTGTGTCCAGGAAGATATTTTACATTTTCATGGTCATTATTTATGATGTCTGTCAGTTTTCTTCCATTAACGGTTTCTTCAAAGACCCACATCTTGACGGTAGGAGCAAACTTCTGAAGTTTCTTGACATTATTACCAATTATTTTTGCAACAGCTGAACCCCTACAAATGAAACCATGGATAAGAAAAAAAATTGAACTTACTTGGGCAGAAGGAAAGAAGCATTCAATTAAAATTCAGAAGACTTGTGCTTTGATTCTGATTCAAGCACTGAGCTTGTTCAAGATGAGATGTGTCTCAGCCCCAAGCCATTTGAAACGTGGTTGTTTTTACATGGAGCACCACCCCCTGTGATCAGGAAAGCTGCAGAATCTGGTGCAAGGTCAAAAAGCACCAGTCCTTGAAAGGAGTAAGAATCAATCTATCTTGGAAGACAGTGTCACAGGTGGGAGAGAAATCCACCTAAAAGCATGAAAACGACACTAGAGGGTTTTTGAAAGAGATTAAAATGTAGCTACTGTAAAATAAACTGTGTTCTGATGACCTGCAGCAGGCCCAAGGCAGAATCACAATGGAAAGACAAGAGCACGCCTGGATTCCAGGAAAGGAGCAAAGAGAGCCCACTGGGCCCAGGTGGCTCAGTAGTCTGCACCCTTAACTCCCCACTGAGTAGACATCCTGCTAGCCTCCGCCTCCAAGCTCCCTTTTCTCTGCATCTCTATTCAACAAACAAGTTCTGGCAGTGGCTCAGGCTCCCACAGGCTTTCTACAGGGAAGGAGAATGGACCCTGACTTGTTGACAGCAGTCTCTGGCAGCAAAGCAGGCTGCAGAGGGTCCTGCAGTGGAGGTGGCCAGGTGGGCCCGGGTACACGTACCCGTCTCACTCCATGTGAGGGTGGGCCCAGGTGGGCACCTGATCCCACGTGAGGCCATCAGTTCTCCATTAAGACTTTGAACAGAGAATAGCTTGTTTCTTAGGCAACTTTCCTGGTGTCAGGAGCAAATGAAACAAAGTGGCAAAGATC